CACCCATTGCTGATAGACCATCTGATGGCAAGTGACATTCCCTTTCCCCTGCCTTGCAGTCCTGCTAGAACTCGGATTGGACAGAGGACCACTCTTCTAAACATTCCTTATTGATAAATAGCTATAGACCTTAAGCCAGTTTCAGCCAGCTCGTGGAGACTGTGCACAAACTTTGTACCCTCTAGTTCATCTTTTGAATTAAAGATCCAAATTTCACATCATTATAATGCCAAAACCCCACCCCAAAGTAAACATGGAATGTTACATAAATGTTTACTGTTTATGTACTGTGCATGCGACTGACTTCCCTTATGGAATATTCACAGAGTTCCCCAACTCTGCTCATTACATATGTAAAACCAACTCCCTTGAAAATACAGTCTTCTCATTTCCTTCCTCCATGGATCTATAGGGTTTTTTCTAACAGCATGATGGGTTCTGGTTCTAGACTAATATTCAACTTATAAATCCTGAACATTATCACTGTCATCTACACCTTAGATGAGTAAGTCTCCCCAGGATCCACGAAGTAACTACATTCCTGAAAAATGAAACAAAAAAAACCCAAAACAGTCTCAGTGTCTCTCTCTCTCTCTCTCTCTCTCCCCCTCTCAGATAATATAATAATATTAATTAACCTGCATTAAGATCCAGCAGGACATTTGAAAAGGGTTTGGGATTACACAGGACAGTTTCCAAAATTGTAGCTGCTTTCCTGTGACTAAATACATGCCAAGAGAAGACTTCAGTAGTAGCCAAAAGTGATCCCATAATTTTCAACATGCTTCCCCAGAGGGCTTATTTATCTTTCAAAACCACTACCTCACCTCCGCTCTGCTCCTCGGGGGTCTCGTTTCATACTGTCCTTCCTTTATCCGCTGGGCTGCAGACACATTGGCCGCTGACCACCCTTCCTGCGTGCATTGAAGGAGCGATGCTTTCCTGCATTCTGTCCCTGGAGGGCTCTGCCCTATGTTCTTTCCAGGCCTGCCTCCTCCACTTCTCTACAAGTTCAGCTGTAAAGCCTTTTCTCGTGGAGGATTTTTCTGATAACACTTCAGAGACATTTGATTTCATTTTCCTCCTAACACTCCTCACCATCTGAAATTAGCTTAATTATTTGGGTACTTTTTTATGATCTACTCCCCACTCCCATAAACACACACCCATTACATGAAAGAAATTTGCACAGAGATTGTATCAATTATCATCCCAGATGGAAACAGATGGAATTCATGGAGCAATTTGAGATTAGTTTAATGCAAGGATTGTTTACTAAGGTACAAGCAAACTCTAGAAAAAACCATAAGGGATAGGGCTGTATTTGGAGAAGAACTAACAAGTGAATGTAGTTACCATACTAGGACTGAATGAATGACAGGGGCCAGAGACTCAGGCACTGTCTGCTGAGGGGTCCCGGCAGGAGACAGTGTGGGATTTGGGGGATCCATGGAAACAAAAACCTAAGCTCAATCCCTTTATACCTACCCCGTCTTTTGCCAGCCAGAAGATGGACAGCAAAGTCCAGAAAAGTGTATAAAGTCGATCTGGAAGGGCAAATAGAAGAATAGATCCTATATCCTAATAATAGCGCCTGACTAAAACACATATTTTTACACAAGTGCTGACAGTCTGTTGTCCCTTGTCTCAGTATTGCAATTTATGCTTCATTTTAAAAAATAGTTGATGTAAAACCACATCCTGGATTAACATATGTAATATTTTAAGATTTTTCCTATATGGTATTTCATGATTTTCATCCCAAAATGTTGTCTTCAGAGTATTTAACTTACTTTTGCAAAAGAAGTTGCCATCCATCAAGATTCAGGGGCTTGCAAAAAACATGAGGGTGATTGCAGAGGCAAAACTATATCCCCTGGTGGACTACTACCCTTTGATACATTATTTTAAATTTATAATTCTCTCAACCATATATGTGAATTCACTTTGGCAGAAAAAAATAGCTGGCTGAATAGTTTTTTCATTCTTACTTTTACTCTAATTGTCTTGATTACATATGGTTAGAAGTTCATTAGGTACAGGATACTCAAATCATACCAGGATTCATTTTTTTTTCAATAATTAGGATTTATTTCAGAATTACATGGAATCAATTAACGTGTGTGGTATACCTATTATAGAGTGTTTATGACGTTCTATAAAATTCATGGGCTCCTTTTTTGTTTTCTTTTTAGGTATTGCTATCAGTCACTATATCTTTATATACAAATAATGAAAGAGAAATGAAGATGGATACATAAACCCAAACCTAAGACCTGAAATAATAAAATGTAGCATTTATGTTTTAGTCCATTTGAGCCGATGTAACAAAATACCTCAGACTGTCTAATTTATGAAAATTTACTTCTTGTGGTGGTAGAGGCTGAGAAGTCTAAGATCCAGGCAGTGATTGGCAAGTTCTGTGTCTGTTAGGGCCTGTTCCATCCGAGGCATCTCCTCAAGGTGGCATCTTCACATGGTGGGAGGCAGAAAGGCAAACAAGGCCAGGTTATCTCTCTCCATTCCTTTTATAAACCATTAATTAATTCACGAAGTTTGACCATTCATTACTTATTGACTCTCCCCAAAGGCTCCACCTTTTAATATCACCATAATCAGGGTTACATTTCCACATGAATTTTGGAGGAAAATGATCATTCAAATCATGGTAATGTAGTTCTGCTGGTTACTTTCTATTATGGAAGTACATTAGCATCATTCTTTGCAAAGTTTCTCCTTTCTTAAGACCCTGCAATCCATTCTTGTTAATTGTTAGTTAATAAACAATGAGTACCCATACAAAGAATAGCTTCTTGAAAAGGAGATTTTTATTCTAGGCTTTTAAAATAAATTACAATGTTTAAAGATTCTCTTCTCTTGTTGAAATTTTTATTTCCTAATATGAGTACATAATAGTTGTATATTTTTATAGGGTTCATGTTATATTTTGATATAGGCATACATTGTGAATAAATGAAATCAGGGTAATTGGACTATCTTCAGGCTCGCTTATTCCCCAGATCTTAACTCTAAAAAAATTGTATAAATATTACATTTTATTTCTTTAGAACAGTAGTTATTAAGTGGAAGAGGTGCTGGGGAAGGGTAAGCCCATTGTTGTCATAGCTAGAGATTGCCTTTCAAACAACATATACAATCCTTTGCTCTCCCTAAATTCTAATACTATACTTTCCAATTAGGCAGCATTATGCTAAAAGTGGGGCTGGAAGCAGTAGGCAAGTCGCCCATCTGACACAGGTTGCAGCAGGAGAGCAGGCAGTGTATTTGAGATGGTGGTGTCTTGACAATTTTAACAGATCACCAGACAAAAAATATCTACTTTTAAATAAGTCTGATGATACCTATTTCCTTCCTTTTTCAATTGTACCTTAATGTTATACTCTAACTGGGTCCCAGAAGATAGTTTTTTTAATATAGTTTAGCAGATAACCAGAAAGAATCTCTATTTTTCTGAAAGAGAGAATGAGAGAGAGTTAGAGATTATATATAATACACACACAAACACACAGATAATTTTCATATTAAATACTTTCATACTGAAAATGAATTACATAAAGAAAAACATATATAATTTTAATTACAAAGAAATTGATTTAAGATAGATCTTAGAAAACAACAGAATAAGACAGCATGCATATGAATAAAACCCAGGCATTTAGTTAGAAAATGTAAGCATTATAATCAGGAAAGCACATAGCTTAAGGTATATAGGACCAGAACATTAAGATGTAAATATGAAGAACCTTAGTTAAGAGACCTGGAACTGAGTATCAAGAGCCCAAGTTGAAGAGAGGACAAACAGATTGAATCAAAAAGGTGTCAATACCAAAAAAGCAGCAGTAGCAAAAATGAAGGTTGTCTTTTTCGCAACAATTTCCTGCCAAGGATCAGAAGAGATCTTAGATTGTAGTTAAGTCTGAATTAGCAACAAAAAAGCATGTGTTAAGTCATAGTAGAAAATACAGATAAAATGGTGATATATATACTGGGTTTATGATTTGGATACTTTATGTTTTCATTGTTGGTTGATATTATCTGTGTTATTCATCTTTGCTACTTTATTTAAGAAACACTATCAAAGCCACATGGGATAAGACAAATGCTCTCCAATCTCTCCCTAAAGCCATTGGCTATAGATTGGAATTTCATAAATTTATTCATGATTTTACTTGAAAGAATCCAGAAGGATATAGCTATTCCACTATAAATAAATATAAATGTAAATTATTTTTACACTTGGACAAAGGGCACAAATTAATATTATATGTAAATGAGCATATATTGTAATATTCATGATTGTAAATTTAATTATTTATAAATTCATTTAATGATTCTGTCAGTCATTCATTTAGTTAGTTGGTGAACATACCCTTACAAGGTTTTTTCTAAATGGCAGGCCTTGTCCTTGGTGCTGGAGAAACGTGGTGAAAAATCTGTTGCTCAAATAATTAAGGGGAATTTTGAAAGACACAATAAAATATAGTATGCAAAGAAGATATTTTATGCATTTTGGAATATAAAGTAATATAGTTATCCCAAAATATAAAGATAAGAGGAAAGTAGAAAATAATAATCATTAGAAATTGCAACACTCAGTTTAATCATATAAAATTCTTAGTATATATATTTTTATCCCTAAATTTAACAATTTTTTTAAAAGATAGGAGCATATGTGTAAATCCTGTCTAACTTGGCTGACTTAATTAAGATGACCATCTTTTAAAGCGATACATTGTTTTTTAACCATATTTCTCACCTGCATAGCAATTTATTATGTGGCTATTATCATAATATACTAACTTATGCCCTAATCATTGGACATTTTGGGTGTTTCACCTTTTAAAAGACACATAATTTTTGCTAGTATGTGTTTGCTAGTGAATCTAGATAGAATCATGTAGTTGTTTTTGCAGACTATTTTAATTAGGAAACTGCAGTATTTGTGATATTTATTTTATATTATTATTTTTCCCCTTAAGGTGTCATTAGAACAGCTTTGCCAAACATGGACAGAGAAGTCAAAGAACAATACCAAGTACTCATCCAAGCCAAGGATATGGGAGGACAACTGGGAGGATTAGCTGGAACAACAATAGTCAACATCACCCTCACTGATGTCAATGACAATCCACCCAGATTCCCCAAAAGTATGTCATCTTTCCTGTTAAGTCTAAATTAGTATAGCTTTTTTTTTTATTCTTCACAACGTCATTCAATGCTAAAGGAATTGAAATAACATTCCAAAACTTCTGGTCTTTAGGAAGCAGAAACTAATTAAAAATGACATGTCTTCAGAATTTTTTCATGAGAATCATGTCCAGTGTTACTTTAATACAAAATAATGAGTCAATAGTTGAACAATTGGTCTAATGGTATTGACTTTTAATGAAGTAAAATATTCACAATAGGTTGATATCTTACCTTAATATCTTATTAACTGAAAAAGTAAACATGGAAAATCTGATGTAATTTAAGACCTCATATTTATAACATATATGCCACCAAATTACATATCATATAATTAGTATTAGAATTCTCTGCTTATTCTTTAGCAATTACATATGTTGGACCATTGTCAAATATTTTTGTCTAAGTATCAGATGATATTGATGCTATCTGCATCACTTTGGTTCCAACCAGTTATTTTATTTTAGTTTTGTAATAGGTGAAAATTGCTATAGTTTCTATGATAATAGAATGATTCACACCTGTATCTTCTCTGTAGCTCTGTGTTTTTTTATTGAAAATGAATTCTTCTCACTTGTGTTACATCTAGTTTTCTTTTGCAGTATTACATTTAACACCAATCAGTACCTATTTGATTCCTGGTGCACTTTCAAGGATTATTTTAGTGTCCCTACAGCTTGCAATACAGAAACGGAATGTTTCTATCACTGGTTTTATAAGCATCTTAATTAAATCACTAGGTACTCATTTGCATGAATAGTCTTAAAAAGCAAAACAGAACAATTTTCTTCTTTCCACAGCAGAAAGGGAGCATATGAGTTTACTCACTAAAATATATAACATTGAGAATATTTAACTAAATGAATATCTGATTCCTTTGTTTAAATGTTTTTCCATATTTTACTACTTTGTAAATTTTTTCTTAAAGCCATCAACCTATATTTTCTTTCTAAATGTTTTTTACTTAGTGATCTAAAAGTTTAATGGCCCAATGTTTTAAGAGTGGTAATTATTAATAGAGATAATCAGACCTTAATGCTTATGATACCTAGCCCAATTGAGCCATTCCACTAAGTATACACATTTCACATGTCATGTTGTACATGATAAAGAATATGATTTCTGTTTGTAAACTAAAGAGAGAATAAATCATATTTTAGCATATGAATATAAGTGACAAATGGTTACTATATGTTATGATAGTGTAATATCTACAGAGTTGTTAAGTAATACTTTGCTATTAAGCAAAACGGGAAGAATGTAAGTAAATATTTAAAAGAAGAAACAAATATTGCATTTGTTTTTCTAGCATACTGTATCATTCAAGAATATATTCCTAACATTAAAAGCACTAAACTTTTATTTTTTTTAACTACATAAGTATGGCAAATTGCAATAGCTATTTGAAAAGGACAGATTGGGAGATATACTTTGCTTATATATAAAAAGTGGCATTGTGAACTTAAGCCCTGTTTTGGGTTTTGTGCATATAAAATATTTTCAATCTAGAGTGTGGAAAATAGCAAATATATTCCTAGGTAATGTCAATATCTGCATTCACATGCATGATAGCGAGGATTTTTCAGATCAGGGGTACAAAACCACAGCCAAAGGAAGAATATAATCCTTGTGGGTATTGGTGAAGGCTCATTTGTATTAATGGAAGTTGAGGCAGAGACCCAAACAGGCTGGGGGACAATGGCTCAATGGTGGAGAAGTTAGAGTATGCATAGGAAGTCAAGATGGTGTGCTTAGGTCACACTGAAACAGGAAGATCACTTTCACATTTTGCCTAATGAAAAGAGAATCTAGATAAAGTTGTAGGTTTGTTTCTTATTTATTCAAGTTTGAATCTCTAGGTCCATGGTGACTAGGTGAGATCCATTTGAAGCAGAGAAGGGCATTGGAACATTTAAAGCATTTTCACACTGTCAGGAACTTTATCATTGCTATCTTGATTTCCTTTTCATAACAACTCTCTGAGATCAATATTTTCCACATTTTACCATTCAGAAAACTGAGGCTGATGGAAAAGAAATAACTTACCCAAGATCAACAAAATTAAGTGACAGTTTTTTTTTTTCTTCGGAGTTTCAATTTTTTTTTATTGGCTTTTTAAATTAAATTTTTTTTTTATTTTTTTTTTTTCCTTTTTTTTTTAGACCTTTGGGGAGCTTTTGCAAAAAAAATCACAGTTCATGTTGAATTGTCACTACCCATAAACGGAGAAATGAGAGAGCAGAAGAAATCCTTCAAGTAGATCACTGTGATCAAATTATTTTCTGCTTGTATTACTTGAACATTTGGACTATAATATGAAACTACACTAGGTAGGAAATATTTTTGAATCACTAGAAAGAAGAGGTTTTCACATTTTGAATCAATAAAAAATTAATCCTCCTGAAATTTTACATGTCTCTGTGTCAAGACCCTTTTACTATACTGTCATTTTGAATTACATTCTTTAGAGGAAAAGACAGAACACATTTGTACGTATAAAAGCCGTCTCTTTAGAAGCCGATGCTTTTTTTTCCCCAGGAATATGTCCCTTAGAGAGAAATTAAATATATCCCTTAGAGAGAAATTAAATATATCCCTTAGAGAGAAATTAAATATATCCCTTAGAGAGAAATTAAATAGCAAATGTGATATAAAATTATAAGCTGAGATAATATCCCTTTGAATACAGAAGTCAAGAAAACATATATTCTCTATATAAATAACTTAAAAGAGAATTCCTCACAACTAGCAATATTTATTCGTGACTATTAAGCAATTATGCTAAAAAAAGTTCTTCAGATGAACTCCTGTGACTTTTTTTTTTCATTTCCAAACACCACAAAAGAATTTCCTAAAGTTTATTAATCATGTTTGGCTTTGTGTGTGTGATATTTTTAAGCACTCATTTCCATCCATTCCCTTCTATAAATTTGAGATGGAAAAAAAAAATGAGTAGCATATGCATTTATATTATGCAGGTATAAATAGTTTGTTATTTTATTGTTGTAAAATAGATGGTTCTGGAAATATTGGAACTCCTTGCCAATGTAATATGATGGTGGTGACCATGATATTGACTAAAAAAAAATTACTTCGTGTTTGTGAGGCACTAAGCAAGGTGATTTGCATTTGGATTCTCATGTAACTCTTATAATGACTGTATGGTATTTTCTCAATTTTAGAAATAAAAGAGCAAGTATTATTATGAAAGATTAAGTAACTTGTCCAAGAACCCTAAATTTTTGTCACTTTTTCTCTAAAATAATAATTTGTGTTTGATGCCTGTGTCATCAAAATAACCCAGAAAATTGTTCACAACAGATAACCCAGAAAACTATCCACCAATAAAAGTAGTAATACTGGTTCAGAAATGGAAATAATATGTGGCATATTAAAAGAGATCTAACTGAAATATAAAAACAAAAGATTTTCTTTACAAAATGTTTTCCATAGAGTTATATAGCTTCTATCTACTACAATCAAAGATATCTGTAGAGCATTTCTCCCTGTTAAAATAAGCTACAGAAAAATGCTGATGGTTTCCATTATGTGAATTTTAAATGACAAAACTGCCTAACAAACTGATCTAAATTATACATTATAAGATCAAATCAATTAAGTGAGCTGGTTAATTCACATTTGGCAAAAATATTTATACTTTTGCCACTTGGGCTCTTTTTTGTATAAAATAATTTTGTAATGAAGATGAAAACAAATTAAGGAAAATAAAACACTCCATATACAACATGGGATGAAAAGAGAGTCCATTTATAGGAAATGTAAGGGAGTGCTTGTTTCTTTTTTACTTTGGATTTCAATATAATGTGAGATAAGAGAACTGTTTGTATGGCAAATAGATTTAAATGTAGAAAAGAGGACATCAATAAATGTTCTAAAAAATTTCTTACTAGTAAATAAAAAAAACATTTTAAAGTAACTCTCTGTTTAGATCAACTATCTGCCAAAATGGCTGTTTCCAGCTATAGACATTTTGATTCAGTTATAAGTCAATAATACACTATTTGTACAATAACTACAGTATAAAACATAGCTGTCTTATACTAGTTTGTTAACTTGTTAACACTTGTAGATAAGAAATTGTTATTGTTTTAAAATTAACATAAAAAATCTCAATAAAATTAAACATTAAAAGCATCAGCCAAAATTCCTACTGAGCAAATAATGATCAATATTTGATATTCTGGTTTACATAAACTGTCAGATAAAAACTATGTGTATATATATGCATCTATAAATTTTTTTCTATTGTATATTCGTGACATGTAAAGACTTCAGGATGATGAGATTAATGATTAAATTATTAAAGAAAAAAGAGGATTACTATAGATTTATTCAGTGAAAAATATTGATACGTTTAAGTAAAATGTGTTTTCTCTTTTCATCCTGTCATTTTATCAGCATCCATCTTGATATCTATGATACTTTGGGATTTTTTTAAAGAAATATTCATTATGATGTGTAACATATAAAGATTTTTCTTAAAATTAATATGAACACAGTTGTACTTAGATGGGCCACAAAGCCTATTCCTCTGTGTTTACCATTTAGCATTTTTTATAATTGGAAAATGGTTAGTTTCTGGACTTAAATTTGCTTGATAAAACCATACAATAAGTCACTCTAAATAAACAGCTAAAAGCTAATTGAATTTTGATGGTTACTTAGATTCAGCCTATGTATAATTAATATATATATATACTTTGCCAAGTTCCCAAGGTTTGATTTTTTTTTTTGAGGATGTCTGAGATTGACTGCCAAAGATCCAAGTTCTATGATGCAAATTTATTATTATACACACACACACACACACACACACACACACACACACACACATATACGTTCTGAGAGTTCAAAACTGTATATACATTTCCATAGTTAAATTCTCACAATCATGGAATCTCACTGTAGGATGAAATATTTCTTGACTTTAAGTCCAGAG